TCTCTCTCTCTCTTTCTCTCTCTCTCTCTCTCTCTCTCTCTCTCTTTCTCTCTCTCTCTCTCTCTCTCCATATGTTTGCAAAGTCATTTCGCATGTGAAACCATGCTCACCAACACAATCTTGAGATCTTTTTGCACTTTACAGCTCAGTTTTTTTCTGTTTGGATTGTTTTTTTTCCTTCTGATGTGGTCGTTTCTCCAACCCAAAATGTCACATTGGTATATTTTCAGTGATTTATGTGAAAACTCTTTGCACTCTGGACAAGATCACGGTGGGCTGAGGTTTTATTCCAACAGTAATTGCTTTCTATGGCTCAGTGCCTGATACGTCATTTTGTCTTCCACACTGTGCGGTCGATGGTAAATGTGAGGGACCCAGGGGTGTGAAGAGGGCTTTGCTGCGGTCTCTAATGAGGCCTCTTATCAGATTGATGAGACTGTTATAGATGAGATGAGCCTTCCACTTTCTCCCCCTTTGTACTCTGATTACTATAAACCACCATTACTCACCTGCTGGAGACAAAAAGAAATTCAACTTTAGCTTCATTGCCATTCTTGTGGCCTATACCATGATATCTTTTTAAATTCCATTATTAATACCACCGTTACATCCATGACAGCCGCTTCATCTTTGTTGGTATTGCATAAGTCTTTGTCTTGCAGTTTCTGCAGATTACATCAAAAGCTCCATGTGCAGCAACAGCTCCTGCTCCCTGAACGGTGATAATCCATACGCCACCATTAGAGACCCACCCAAGTTGGCATGCAAGCACACAGAGAACAGCTACGTGGAGATGAAATCCCCCTCCCACCGTGAAGTGCCCTTCGGAGGTACCGCCACCCTCTTGGGCACTGTGAGCAGGAACATCTATGAAGTTGGTGAGTGGCTTTTGCTTGCCCTGAATGTGTGGGGTACTGCAGTACCCCCCAGTGTTGATTGAATGGTATTACAACCTGCGTACAGGAACTGTTAGCTGCATCACTGTTGTAAAGGGAGGTGAAAACTTAAAAACASTAGAAGTTTTATTATATATTTCACATAAAGTTAAAAGTATATCATCTGGAACACCTGTCAAAGTCACAATGCCAACTTGTCAAAGATTCCTCCACTGTGGCTGCATTTTCATAAAAATATGTGACACACTTTATTGTTTTTACTACTCTTGGTTTGTATCTCATTGAACCAGTGTCAGAAATAATGCTTTGCTAACACTATTAGACAACATGTTTAAAGTGCCTGACATAAAAAAAATTTTAATAAACACAAATGCATTTCTGGAAATATAATATTGATTTGGAAAAAAATAAATAAAATAAAATAAATGTATATAGACCCCAGCTGAGTGATTTAAATGTGAAAAAGAGGGCTTTAAAAGCACGAAACATCAACTTTAATAATAGCTTAACCACAACAAATTAACAAAACCTACTGCTTTTTAAATTTTTTATTTTATTTTATTTATTTTTATTTTTTGAGTTGCAACTGGAACACAATAGGCAGGTGTGAAGTCTGAGTTTAGACTTTCTGAGTAAATGGAATCCAGTATAAAACATGAGCCAATTCTTCAGAACAAAAGGCAATGGCTCAATATGGTACCTGTTGTCTCCTTATTGATTTTTGCCATGTGGCATTGACTTAAACCGATAAATGTTGYAGATTGTCTCATTTATTTTCAATACTAGTGATGCTGAGAATGTAGCTGTCTATTAATTTGACACCATAATAAAGGTTTATCAACAATGAGTCATATTCTGTCAATAATTGACATCTGGGTAAGCCTGCAAGCTGTTACAAGATGTTACAGTGTTAAAGTATCTGAAATAAAAAATTGTACTGCCACATATGCAGGTCTGTCCTCAGCCAGTTTGGTGCCCTAGGCAACATTTCAGGTGGTGCCCCTTGTGTAATTTCTCTAAAACCTCAAAGCCAATTTACGTACATTCACATACCAAATTGGCAACCATGCCTGGCGCATTACTGCAGCGGTTCGTGTAAATGGGTGATTTTAATTTGGTTTATTTGTCCCAATAAACATTGAAAAAACACAAGCATTTTCAGAGACTGGTCTCATGTAAACAGTGCCTTCACTGCATCATATAATTGTATCACAAAATATCCACTGCACCATATAACACACCATGTAGTGACAAATCAGGCTGAGAAACCCACAGAACAAGTTACCTTCATAAACTAGTAACCAGTGATTATTCTACAGAATAAATCAACTATACTCGGATAAAAAGTTAAAAATTTCATCCCTCATTTGTGGTGCCCCCTAGATGGATGGTGCCCTTAGTATTTGCCTACACTGCCTATGCCACAGGCCGGCCCTGTTCACCATAAACCCTGCTGGTCGTCCCTTGCACCTGGTGTCAGTGTTTAAGTTTGTGAAGCAACCATATATAAACTTTAACCTATCTCTCATATCACCTCTTTTTCTCTCTCTCTCTCTCTCTTTTCCAAACAATCACAGAACCAACTGTGAACATCCTGCAGGGACCCAATGGAATGGCCACCGGCTTCTCCCAGACGCCCTATGACCTTCCCTGCAGCAGCCACCTCCCCAGCCACTATGACATTCTGCCCATGCATCACAGCCCCAAACACACACCCCCACCACCTCCAGAAAGCCCCAGTTCTTTGCTCTAAAATGCCCTCTCTCCTTCCATGGGGGGGCCTGGACAGCCAACATGCCCTCCCTTCGTCTGTGTGTGTGTAYGCTCAATGAGATACTGAGATTCTGTGGTTGAGATGAACCCCTCCGGACCATCGTCTCATTGGCTCTCTTTTTCTGTGACCCTGAAGGAAGTGAGAGGGAGGAACCAGTGCCCCCGCCCCCCTACATACACACACACCAGCGACCATTCGCCCATTTTATTCTCTTCTATAAGTGATCACTCAAACTGCTGCCTGGCCTTTTTATGGTCCCCCCTGAAGTGGAACGTTATTGTTCCAAACACTGCTTACGGCAGTTATATGAACTGAGTGGACAGTTTCTTTACAGGGAGAGCTATCCTCGCGCTCATTTTTATCCCTTGATTTATGTTCATTATTGCAAACCAGCCGTGTGTTTGTAATATCCCCCATGCAGAAGTGATGGTCTCCTCAGGAAGGAAAGTAAAGCAGCGCTGAATGTGTGAAAGAGGGCAAAGATTCATTGTGTACAAAGTATCCAGTTATATGAATTTGAAGAGAACAGCAGAGCGAACACAAACTGCTTCCAGTCAGAAGTGAAGAAATGTCAAGGCGAAAGAAAATATTAATCCGTCCTAAATATTCCGATACGGGAACTGGGCTGAGAGAGAAACAAGAGAAAGCATGGATAAAGAGAAAAAAGTGTTGTAATGGATCTGTATTCACTGTTACCCAGTAATGATCACACAGTTAATGCTAATGTAAGCTAAGTTTTGTTGTTAATGAGGCCATGTGTATTTGGACATGTATTCAGGTCATGAGTGTTCATGCATTTCTTAAAGCGTTACACAAAAACAATCTCGAGCTTTTATTTTCTTTCACCACACAAATAAGTGCTACAATCTTTTGTTCTTTTCCACGTAACTGCGTTTTCTTTTTTTTTTTTAGAATATTGGATGTTAAATGATTGCTTTGATATTTTCTGGTTTGTATTTAAAAAGCTAATTACTAATTTACATATTAATTTATATTACCAATTATGTATTTTTAAATCAATGTGATTATAATAAAAAAGGACGAAGAAAAAAGATGAGCATGATCAGATAATGGATACCCACTGATGTAGATAACACAATTTATCTTGTGAGATTAGCTGTGTCATTCTGTGAGCTGTTTTTGAAGTCACATCAAATGTTCTTTATTAAATTGTAGATTTGAAAAAAAAAAGAAAAGAGGAAAATTTTTTTTCATCTGACCGATTTAAGACCCAGCAAAGCATATGTAGAAATTCCATCGCTAAAAAAAGACTTTACGTTTGTATCAGGCTGATTAACGTCTTTATTTAGTGAACTGAATTTGCACACCAAGGTGCAAATTCCCATTTCACCCTTTGTTGAAGCAATAACATGTTGACAATCGATGCACATGCAGCGTTTCTTTAGTGCTGGACATTATGCCATCATTGACACGTGTGGTGACAGGTAACTTATGTGACTGTTTGTCCTCTGAGGACACTTTTTTTCCCCCTAATTGCTGTCATATAAAGCTGGTTGTTGTTTTGGTACTTAAGTTTCTTTCAAATTAAATGCCTATTCTGCCATCAAAAACCAGTCTCGGTCAGGTTGTGTGATGTGCAGTTGCAGTTGTGTTCACTAAATTACATCAGGAAATCCTGCACTCTAAACAACACATTATTGTTCATTTTGATTTATTCTATAACGTTTTATCGACACTGCCCTCTGACCACTGCAGCGTTTCTAACCAGCCTGGTGCTTTAGGCGGGCCTGATTTATTAAGAAACATGACATCAGGCAGGAAAGCAGCTTCTTTACTGCCTTGTTTGGTCAAAAGTTTAGTCCTGTTTCACCATCAGCCGTGYCCAGCTCCGCTCATAAACATGATATTCAGTTTTCCAACAGGGTCTGCCTTCACATAACTTCAACAAGCTGGACTACTCAAGTGCTGGAGCTCAACGAAAAAATAATAAAACATTTAACCTTTTTTTTTTTTCACTCGAGCTGCAGAGCTTTGCATCAGACAACTGTTTAACATTTAAACAAGTAAAACTGTTCATTCACTGAACACTTTCTGACCTTAAGGGATGGTCTGGATTTTTTATTTATTTATTTATTTATTTATTTATTATATTTTTTAAGCAGACTACAGTTACTTTCATGTAATAAACGGCAGTCTGAAGGGTCTCAGCTTGGAGAATCACAGAGAAGTTCTCCTGGAAGAGTCAAGCTAACATCGAGTCTGAGCAGGATAGAAGCAGAAAGTGGCATTTTWAAAAATAAAACTCCTYCAGTCCTAAAAAAWAKTTCACAGTAGCTCAAGCAAACACCAATTTTCTTTGCATCATCAGCACTTCAGCTTTAAAAAGAAGTCATTTTATAAAAATACTTYTTGAAGACAGTGTTGGCATCATGCATGGGTGTGTACATGTTGAAGTCAGAATGGGTTAAACAAAACTGGACTGATGCTCAACCCACAAATGCATGTTCCTTACAAATGTGGCACCATTTAAAAATTATCAGGCAATGGTGTAAGACTGATTGCCAAGCAGTATTTTAAAGCAAAGAAATAATCTATGAAACACAACTTCCCTTACTTTCTGTGCAAAGTTTATTTGTTGTGCTGTTTTTGTTGTTTTTACTCCTGTTTTTCTTTGTACTCATCTGTTTTACCTCTGTGTGCTGAAATGGGTTATAACTAACTGAGAGGAAACTAGATTATTTTTGAAAAATCAATATAAACTAGATATCACATAGCAGTAACATAATGACCCCCCGCATACACAAATGCAC